TAGTAGCGTCCCTGTTCCTAGTAGCGATGCCCTTTGCTCCTAGTAGCGTCTTGTTACTAGTAGCGATGCCAGGAGCCCCTAGTAGCGTCCTTGCTCCTAGTAGCGATGCCCTTTTCTCCTAGTAGCTTCTTTGTTACTAGTAGCGATATGTAGTGATGGCCTCCAACCTACTAGCGATGGCCTCCATCCTAGTTCTTGTTCCCAGAAGCAGTTCCAATGTCCTTTGTTCCTAGTCTAGTAGCTTCTTGCTACTAGTAGTATGGCCAGGAGCAGTGCCAGGAGCTACTAGTACCGGATTCGCTGGAGGGTTTCAGTGGATGTCTCATGAGGGACAGAGCGAAAAACATGTTTGTTCCGTTTGGACCAGTCTGGTGCTTTCTTTCATCGCGACCTCCGAAGTCCAAGCCACCACCAAAGTAAACGACCAGACTCGCCATTGAGTGAAGTGTCAAGTCGCGGTAGCCGAGGTTTGGTGATGTCAAGGAGGATGTTCACCCAGGTCCTCATTGGCCAGGGGTTCCTTGTTGGCACCAGCATTGGATAGCATTAGCACGCGGAACACGAAAATGATTGGTGTGTGTGCAGTGTGCGTGTTTTCCGACCACTATTTCAAGGGAGTGTAGTACGGAGTGTAGGGAGATGCCTTGCACTTTTGGACCTGGAATCGCTTGAACTTCTTTGCTTTCCCTTTGTTTCATTGCAAGGCCATTTTGTGACGCATCAGGTTAGCAAACAGAAACCATGTGTGACCGCTGGAAGAATAGCCGGTGAGCAATGAACGTATTTATACATACACATGGACACCATTATGAAAATGAATTTGCAACTCAAGGCATGGCCCAGACCAACCCATGCCGACCGTACAGTGCGGCGTCGGCGGCGCGTCGTCCGGTGGTCAGCTCGCTCGATTCGTTCGGGTTGCTGGTTGTAGAGGACTTGTTTGTCACGGGTAGTTTTCAGGGTCCATGTTAGCCTCCGGTATACTTTTTGTTCCAAGAGCATTTCGTTGTTGCACGCAAACATGGAACATCATAGGGTACCGTTGAAGAATGATGCCCCGAAAGACTCCCTAAACCTTACCGCATAGGCCACGCTAGTAGGTTGTGCTGGTGATTGGAAAGCGGCAGACTTGACTTTCTCGGACTTTCTCGTGTCGAATTCAGATCGAAACATGAAACATGCCCAGATTCTCAACGTGTCTCCACGCAAAATTCTCTCGTAGACCTTCAAACTTAACTATAACATATGGGTAAATTGACCAATCCTCATCAGGCACCCGCTGAGGAGGACCTCCATCGCAGAAAAATGTCAGAGTCAGAAGTTCGGTTTAAGACCTGTGGATACCTGTGACAACGACGGCCGTGACGTCATGGACACCCCCCATGGAGTTCCCCCCCCAATGGACACCGCCCAGGACACCGTGCGCTGCACACTCTGGGGGGCGCACCCCCGGAACCACTTGCAGCGGAACAGCAGCTTTGGGACCGTGTGGCGCTGGCAGCCGAACAATGCCAGTCGCTCGGGCCACATGAAAAACTTGGTTTCTTTTGGTTTTAGGGTCTGGTATGTTGCTTAGGGCTCCAGGACCAACAATCTTGACCCACGCAGCCCAGTTTTGAGGATGACCAACTGTCTTTGTGAGTGCGCACTGTCACGTAAATTCATGGCAGGTTCTCCCATGTTCGCCATGTCGTTGAGTTCCGGACCTGGAGAGTGGAACCGAATGGGCGATGTCAGCGAACCAGGCGATGTCAGTGCTGGGGGGTCCTGGGTCTTCACTGCCGATGACTCGGACTTCGACACCATGTGCCTCCGGAGCGATGATTTGGCGAGCGATGGGTGGTCTAGTACTTCTTGAGTACAGAGCCAATGCAGTACCGCCTAATAGTAATATGACTACTTATACATAAACAGGGCAATATCAAGATGACAATAAGAACATTACAACAAAAATGATATGCATCAAGTATCAAACTATACGTATATATTATATTATCAGTCATTCTGGACCATATTTGGGTCCGCATCGGTGTTGGCCGACGGGCGGACAGCTCGCCGGAGTCGTTTCTTGGTCGATGGCACGCTCGATCTAGATGACATCATGAAACATTCTGAGCATACCTGGCATACCCAATAGGCTTCATTTGGTTGGCAACTGGTCCAAGCAGCGGAGTTTTAGGTGAGACAATCCAAACAGGAGTCATGGCAGCGGCCGGGATTTCCAGAATCGATTGGGGAACGTCGATGACCGATGTGTTTTTTGTGGTATGGGTTCAAGAGTTGGTGTCCAACTATAGTTCCTGTATGTTATTGTAACTAGTTTAAGTTCATAACTTTTGATGGAGCGCGCTTCCAAATTGCCAAATATCCCAATATAGTATAATATAATAGGTCTTAATGATTCCCGATGGTTTTCCAGCTCATCTCACGATTCTGAGATATGATTGGCCCGTTTTTGGGCGCGAGACCCCACTCGGCCGATGCCAGAGACGAGGTTCTCCTGGCGTCGTGAGGGCATCTCTGCGAGTTTGGTGACCATCAGTTGGACGGTGCCTGATGGTGTGCCTGGGGGGTGGTACACGATCCACTATAGTGCCTTGGTCTGTGTGTTTTTTGAGGATTTTTGTGGAGGTTTTGCTTTGGAGATTCTGAAAGAAGGACACGGGCTCGATGATGTTTCTTCTTCTTTTCAATCGCACAGCCACAAGGCGAAGGGTTGCAAGTGTGGGCTTTCGTAAACATCGGTCGCTAAGAATGGGATCAGTCAATAAGGAATGAGGGTCCCAGAACATATTTACTTGGGCCCTGAGCACGTGCCACCGCGATTTTAGTGCCTATAACCGTGATGACGCAGCGCAACACACAGGTACTAATCTGGAGTTGCTCAAAAAAGCTCTGGCAATTCCTATGTAACATACTTTCTTGGACTATTGAAGTTCCTAAAAAGTAACGAAGGAATTGACAAATGCAGAATGAGACCTTCAAGCAACAAAACACACACAGTAAGATTGGTACGCGCGCACAGCACATGTGTTTTTCACTTTCGAGGGTGTGAAACGCCTGTGCTGCGGATAACGTTGGTGGCTTGACGCAGAAGCAATGAGGCTTCCAGGGTGTCATGTGATGCACAGGCCGTTGTTGCTTTATTGTTGCTACAAGCTACGACTGTCACGACGCAGCACAGCATAGTTATCAATGGCTGCTCTTGGAACCCCATGCAGCCTTTACAACATGTTTGCTTCGGGGATAGTGAAGTCCAACAATCCCGACTCATATAAGGATTTTTGGGGGCAACCTAAACAATTATACAAAACGCTAACTAATGAACATTGGTAAGATTGCACAGCAAACTTGGAGTGGGCGCGTGCCATGGATGAGCCTGGTGCAAATGCATCTAAAGACTTGCCTGCGATATTTGAAGATGCTTATAGTAAGTTCCTGGACTGTGCTGGAGTCATCTTCTCTAGCGGATGCCCAGAGGAGGCACGGAAAAACAGCAGAGCAAGATTGAAAACTAAACTGTAGAACCATTCCAAGTTGGTGCAGCAGTGTGACATTTGCAGGTGCACAAGTATTCTACAGCAATGAAACTTCTATCTGGAACCATCGTTCCTTTGTTTCACTATATGTTATTGCTATCAGTTTTTGCACCAATGGAAGTTTACTATCAATTCGAGGAGTTGTGTTCATATTTGTTTGTGGCCAGTGACCATGGCCATGGATGTACATGTTACTCAATAAGGCTAAGATGACAACGACCAACCAAATGAAGCCTAGCATTGTACAGGGCCCTGGAGCACCATCTTATTCACTGGCACAATTGTTTTCTGTCCTGAGAGTGAAGCTTGGCAAACACATGCACACACAATTCTCAAGAGTTCAAGTGGGCTCACACTGTGGCAACATCCTAAGGAGCAAGCATCTTCGAAGCGACAAGGAACTAGGATCGGTTCTAGATGCCGCCTTTGAGCTGATTCTGGGGGTAGATTTGAGAAGGTCAGGAGATTCAACTGGGCCATCAGCACCAACGCTGAGCAGAGCGAGGGCGAGACTAGATCTGGCCCATATGCTTTTGAGAAGGGAGCAGGTAAGAGATTGGAAGGCAAGAAACATACACTTCATGCAGCTGTGTTGCTTGATCCTGGTATATTGTTTGCTTTCGTCAGCGGGCATTGAACAGTCCCCGTCGGTCGCAGTGTATTTGTTGTGTCCATGACGTTGATGATGTAAGGCTTGGATTCGTCTCCTGTGAAGAAGGAGCTACTGCTGTGCCAAGAAGTCAGTTTTCAGCCCCTAGAATGCACTGGACTGAGCTGAGTTGCCGGTTTCTACTGCCACTGCACATACACACATACGATGAGGCCTGGGGCTGTTATGGCAGAATCAGCCAGGTTTGCGAAGCGGTGTGCACACTCCCAGGGAAAGCGCTGTCATGCCTTGGATAGTGACAGTGATTCCGAAGATGACGACCTTTTGACCACCTTTGTTCCAGCTCGGGCAGGGAGATCTTCTATTTTCTCCAAACGCATCTTGCCACCTGTCACTTTGGGCAAAGGCCGGGGCGTGTTGCGTGGGGTGATGGGCATGAGCTTTGTTTCATCCACTTGCGAACTTGAAATGTGTGTTCTGTTTGCACAAGCGCCAATGGCGCCAGGAAGCACTGAGACAGTACACAAGCTCGCAGGGATGCTCCACATGTTTCGATGTGAAGTTGATCCAAGCACCATTGATTGGTACTGCAGCAGGATTATTGCTGTCGTGACTGACCAAGGCACAGCATGGTTGCAATGTGTGAATTTCCGAGTGTCATGTCATGTGTCACTAGGTTTAGGCCTGTACTGTCATGGTTGTCACAAGGTACAGAGTATGGCTTGGCGGACATCCGTAGGGTGGATATGGAACGCTTGCTTCAAGAGGAAGCTGCAGAATTGAAGACTGTACCAGCCCCGAGAAATCCCGCTGCGAGAGAAAGTTTGGGATACCTGGAGGATGATACATATATTCAACTGAATGATGCCCCTGTAAATGCAGGGCCGGGGCCAGATGTTAGGGACGCTGGAGATCAGCCTGAGGATGTTGAGGCCAACAAATCTGAAAAATTGCAACTCGGCTTGCACATTGTTACTGCTGAAGGCAAAGATATTAAACGCAGCAACACAGGGCTTTAACGGTTTGACGGTTTTGCTTGTCCATTTCAGCTTAGGTTCCCGAACGCATTGAAGATTGTTGGTATCCTCCACATATGTGACAATGCGATGCACACGGCGTTTGAGGCCATGCCATAGCCATGGCCTCAACAGCTCAACACATGACAGCTCACTTGTGGAATGGATACATTGGTTGAGTTGCCAACGTTGAGAATTTTGCATTTCATGACTGCACTAAGTTGGAGCAGCTATCTCTCTCAATTACGATTGGTGGAGAAACTCTTGAAGGATGTGATTGCTCGGGAGCGCTTTCAGAGTGCACTGATTCCTGCTGATCGGAAATTGGAGAGGTCAATGCTGGATCACTGGCAGTATCAATTGGGAGGGTTACGTTGGCAAGCTGTTGTGAATTTTGTCCAGCATGTGCCTTGTTTGGAGCTAGCTAGTGAACCGTCCTTTTCTTCTCGATGCTAGCATGATGCTAGTAAGTGTGTGCGTGTGGCGCGTGGGTTCTTGTGTGTTCTTGCCGAGATGTTGGCTATTGAGCACATCTTGAGAAATACTGGGATGTCAACAAGTACACCGGGAGCAAGCTCAAGGTGCCCGCGAAAAAGAAAGAGCAGAAAGATCAACCGTACTTGGAAGGAGATGACGTCAAGTCTTTGCAACAGGTGATCCAGAGTGTGAAGTTCTGGGGGTTCTCCCATGTGGTGTGTGAGTTGGGCTTCCAAGCAGAACTGTTGGGGAGGTGGTGTGAGGGATGCGCGTGCCACGAGGCGCATAGATCTCTATACAACTCGATGTCAAGTGCAGAACGACGGGAAATTCCTAGGCCTCCAGAGTGTGATTTCCAATCATGCCGTGCCCCAGAGCTGGCCTCTGGTTGTGCAATCAGAAAGTTCCAGCTTGGTCTCCTTCACACCGAGCACAACATCATGACTCTGACAGCTGGTATGTCAGGAGAGGATCGAGCAGATGTTCACCAACAGTACGACCTCTCTAGAAGCAAGTTGGAAGTCGAGGTGACATTGAAATTAGCTCATTGGCAACAGCTTCCACATTTGTTGTGTGGTCTTGCTCATTGGGATTCAAACATTGCCTGTGCTGTTGCGAAACGTGCTCTCGAACTATGGAACAAAGGTCAAAATGTTGACCATTTCCAGGCCAAACGGTTTCTGGATCCAGAATGGGCAGGCGTTCCTGGCTTTGAGCGTGAAAGACCTTTGAGACCGTTTGTACCGTGTCTTTCGATTGGTGCTGTTTACTTTTTGGCTGTCTTGGGTTGGGAAGCTCAAGTCATTCTCTTTCTATATGTAATGCCGATCACGTTCGTGGTGCAGTACAGATGTTCACACCTGTGCTTTGTGCAACCTGTCTTGAGCACAACCACTCAAGACTCGTGTGGAGTGTGGATGGATACAGTAGCATTTTTCCTTCCATAATTTCCCGAAGATCGCACAGCAGCACACCGCCGTAGAAGTTGACACAACATCTTTTCAACTTTGGGTTTGTGGACTTCAACGTGAGTTTGGATTCAGTCTCATGTTCTAATCTAATCTGAACTTTATTTCTTTTTGTAGACTAGTAGAGTAGACCCTGCTTGAGGTAGAGGAAAAAATCGCGTACAAAGGTGCAACAGTCAATATGATTCGAGATGCGGCGTTTCAAATGTGGGTCTATGCTCTGGGCAGCATCAAAATCAGCGAGCGGCCCATTGAGGGTTGCCATTCCCTCGTGACTAACCAGTATAAGCGTGCCCCAACATCAACCCTAGCTACGATCAGCTTCGAATTGCGGTACAAATGCCTTTGCGAGCAAGTCTCAATGAATCCACAGGCTAGGGCTACATCGTAATCGTATTCATGAAATGAACTTCTTATTTTTGTTGAACATTAAGATTACTCATGAGGCATGCTGTTCTTGCAAAATTCATTGTAGGTTCTTCAGAGCCTATCACGGGACATTGCTGCAGTTGAGAGACTCGAGGGCTTCCGCTCCAGTGTCTTGCAGCAGGCTTAGATGCACTTCCTTTAATTGAACATTTGTAAATCAATGTCGGTGTATTATGGAACATATGGAAAGTTGCCCTAGGTCCATTCTCCAATTGGCACCTTCTCCTGACTTGCTCTTGCTGGACGAGCGCCGCCTCTCTAATTTGCTGTATCGTGACCAGCTTGAATTGAAGCATGCGCAGCTGCCTGGCCTACGGTCTGAGATTGAAGATCAAGCGCGCAACAATGATGTTGAGAAAGGGCAGACTGCTGCCATTCAGCTAGACTGGCGCTGCAAGCTTTTGATTTCCCACATGCTCGAGGTGGAATTGTGGATGAGTGAAACTGACTGTTCAAGAACCAGCAGTTTTGCCTGCCACTGCCACTGTGTGCAGGTGGCAGAGTCGGAGAAGAACGTGTATTTTTCATTGCCAGCAGGTCGCCTTTGCTCAGT